GGGGACGAGTTTTAGTTTTGCAAGATGACAAGTTTGGGGATTGGTTGTACAGCAATGTTAATGTAGTTAGTACCCCTTCACTGTACACTTAAAAATGTAAGATGTAAACTTTGTGTTATGTGGATTTTACCACAATTAAATGTTTTAAAGTGGTGTGTTATTTTCAGTATTATGTATTTCTTGCGAATGGCTGGGTTTCTGTATTACCGGAGACTGAGCAGATGTGGTCTGGAGTGAACCTGAAAACAAGTGGAGGTTTTGTGAATCTGCCAACATGTGCAAGTGGAAACAAATACGCAACCAAGTCATAGCCACCACGTGCTGTCAAATGTTAGGAGTGCTTTGGAAGGAGAGAAAAATCGCAAAGCAAGTGCTCCCTGCCAGAGGAGGAGTGGAAGTGATGTGACGAGAGACCCTTCCTGTAGCTGCGGTGCCCACCTTTATCAAAAAGCTTCGGAGTGAAGTGCAGTTGTAGGATCTTGAAGGAATCATTCAGGCTGCTCCATATTTTGTGCCTATTTGATGTTTAAATATTATATTGCTTCCTAATTATAAACCTGGACTCTCAGGTTTTTTAGAAAAGTTTTTTTTCTGGGGACTTCCCTGGCGACCCAGCGGTTAAGACTCCACGCTTCCGCTGCAGGGGACGCGGATTCAAGCCCTGGTCAGGAAACTGGGATCCTGCATGCTGAGCAGCACGGCCAAAAAAAAAAAAAAAAACGTGTTTTTCCTTAACCATATACATGTATTGATTGATCCATCGTGAAGGTAAAGTTCGAGATTCTTTCTGGCGGCCCGTACAGAACAGAAATAACTCTCTGTAATACAGGGCCCAAGCAGACTTCAGTAAGTTACAGTGTTCTCTGGTGCCTTGTTCTGCTCTTATTCTGTGTTCTTATTTCCCAGACCGAGCACACTGAAATCATGGATGTTGGGGTTCTTTATGGACAATGTCTTCCCATCCATTCTTTTTCTTCTTCAAAAGCAAGAACTTGGCCACCCTTTAGTCTCTGTTCCTGCTAGGACTGCAGACATCTGCTCTCACTTCGTGGTATAACTTTATCCTAGTGTTTTTAATTCAATTAAATAAGCTCACCCCTTTAAAGCCTGCTCTATACTAGGCATGGCCATCAAGGCGAGATGACAGGACCCAAGTCCTTTTTTTGAAGAAATTAGAATCAAACTGGACAGAGAAACAAGCACATGAACGTTATAGAATAAAAACTATGACTACAGATAACGATTGCTGTGGATGCACGGCGCAGGATAAATTGATTTCAATCAGGAAAAATCGTAGGAGGCTTCCTGGAGATGGTGGCAAGGGAGCCAGGCCTTGATGCTGTCGAGAATGCCCAACAACAACGTAGGGAGTATTAACAGAGGGGTCAGGTTTAGACTCTCAGTTGACATTGACAGTAAAGAAAACCTGGACTCAGAGAGGATGAAGAGCTGGTGCCTGCGGCCGTACCCAGTTGTCATAATCAACATCAGGGCCCCGACTGTAGTCCTGGCTGTAATCCAATCCCACCTTCCTGGACTGCTGGTATCCTGGTGACCCCTGCAGTACTGGATGGTTGGGGTACCTAGAAGGGACCCACTGATACGCCTGTATTATGGAGTGTGGTTGTCCTGTGAGACAGCCTACTCTGTGCAGCCATGCCTGGCCTGCTGGACTGGATTTGCGTTACCAAGGAATCGGCAGGGTTCCCGGGGTCCTACCCCCCTCATCTGTGACCTCAGAAGAGTCACAGCTACCTCAAAGAACCAGACAGATCAATAAATAGCAAAACCAAAGGGCCTGAGATTTTATGGCAAATCCCAAATGGTCCAGTGAGGCTCAAGTCGTGGTGTCTGGGATCAGGGAGAGGAGGCCAGGGGACACTCAGCTGGGCCATGGGGTTATTCTCCAGGTGGTGGAGGACAGGAAAGAAGGAGACGAAAGTGACGTGCTGAACCCGAGCGCTCTGACGGTAACTCTGGCAACGGTCCCAACGCGGAGGAGGGAGAAATGGAGACCATCATTCGGATTGCCATTGTCCAGGAGGAGATATGGAGAGCTGCCCTGTGGACAAGGATGCTGGTCATGAGATAGAGAGCCGAGCACAGGCCGGGCGCCCACGCAGGAGCACGTGCCGGCTCCAATGGGTCTCTGCTGGGAGTGGACCATGACTCGGGACCTGTCTCCAGCCGTCCTCTGAGAAGTGGAAGAGGTGTGAGGTCTTAAGATTCGTCCACATGCTTGCACCCGTCCCCACCCCCTCTCCTGTTAGGTTCCGTAAGGAACTGAAGGTCCAGAGACGGTGAGCCGCCCTCCACGTGCATCTGTGTCTGTCACCGCTAGAACTGGGCTAAAGGGATCTTCCAAATGCATAGAAGAGAAGATCTTTATCTTTCTCCCTGCAAATAAGCAATAAATGGAATGCATTTCTCCATAGTCGTGTCCCTGTAACTTCTCAGGCGAAGAGACATTTCTATGGAGAGATTTAAGATAGTCGTTTTTAAGTTCTTTTAACGATGGATACATTTTAACAATGTAGATATCTTTATTCAATCAGTTTGGACCAGGACCACTGTGAAGACACTAATGGTTAGTGGGAATCATCATAGAAGGAAGTCTATAAATATCCGATGATGCGTCAATAATGAAATAGATTTTGCTGTCACCATGGCCACTCCCTGACTCCCCCCGCACCCCAGCCCAGCAGCTCTCAGGATTTCTCTTTTCTCTCACCTACTTATCTACCCTTTTTGGACTGTCCGGACGTCCAGCATTCTTCTGACGACCCCGCCCATCACGCGTCCCAGACACCCACAGACAGAAAGGGTCTCTGGAACACCCTACTCTCACCAGACTCACACATCACAGCGTTACCTTTAGAGTGAGAGTGAGTCCTGGAGGGCGAGGGCTGTGATACCACTTCTCTGTGTGTTGTCAATATCGAGACTCAGTCCTGGATCACAGGAGGTCTGCAATAAGAAGATAAGGAAACGAAGTAATAGTTGGATATTGCCTGGCATCCTAGAATCGTAGTGCCAGAGAGGATGTACAGACTTCCTATCTGGTATAGGAATTCTCTCTATAGTATCCAGACTCTTTAAAGAGAGAGAGAGAGATGTTACGTCTGACAATATTTGCATAGCCCTGTTAGAAAAACTTCCTTACAGGGCAAAACAGTCTTACACGCTATAGCTTCTACCCTTGTTTGTTAGTCTATACACTGCTGGTACAACACGTAAGCCTGATTGCTCAGTTGGAATGAGCTGTACTATCAACAGGAAGGTGTGGTGTTGTAATACAGGGTTTTTTTAAGAGACACATAATTCAGTGTACAAATAAGTGCGGAAATTACCACTAACATTCTGATGGGGAAAACAGGTATTTTTAAACTGACGAATGGTGAGGTTATTTCTATCATATGTACCAGATGTGGGGTGAGAAGAGAGAGGATTTAGTAGCTGAAATCTGTCACTTAGGTTAATCCAAAGACTGTCCAGTTTGTCTAATCCTAAATCTAAAAGCTTTCAGTTCTGTGTACTTCATACAAGAAATTTGCATTTTAATGGAGGACTGCAAAACGATTTTTGGAATGTTCCATCGTTCTAAGTGGGGCATAACTCTTTTGTTATCAGGAAATTTTTCTCTGTAATGCTAACTACAGAAAAAAATCTGCCTGGACCTGGGAGAAAAGATCTATGATGAGAGCAAGTTCTAGTCTAACTCTTTTCTGATAAAATCAAAGAAAGTTACTTTCTATGTAGCTTTCTGTAAAATCTGTGCTCAGCAGTTCACTAATACTGCCCTGGCCTCGTGATAATAACAGCAGTAGCTCTGAGAGGTTTTACAAGTGGAGAGCTCATAGTCCTGGAAAACCTTGTAGCAGTGAAGAATGGGATGTAAAAGTTAAAGGAAGTTTGCATGTAAAAGCTACGTACAACAGAAAGATGTAAGACTCACTTAACGTGTAAACATATCTTTCACTTTGTAGAGTCACTTCTAAGAAAAAATTCACATAAAATGAATTTCTGAATGAATCATATTTACACAATTCCCTATTATATAATCAGAACGTATCTGATTACATAGTAGAAATCAACATTTAAAAAACCTATTTCAGAATTTAACAATTAACGATATATATATATATATATATATATATATATTTTTTTTTTTTTTTTTTTTTTGCGGTACGCGGGCCTCTCACTGTTGTGGCCTCTCCCGTTGCGGAGCACAGGCTCTGGACGCGCAGGCTCAGCGGCCATGGCTCACGGGCCCAGCCGCTCCACGGCATGTGGGATCTTCCCGGACCGGGACGAACCCGTGTCCCCTGCATCGGCAGGCGGACTCTCAAGCACTGCACCACCAGGGAAGCCCTCACGATATAATTTTAAGGCTGTGAAAAAAATCAAATTGCCCATAAATAAAATTCGACAGAAATATGTCTTACAGAAACTCTAGTATACAATATCTGGCTTTTATGGCTGAATCATAGAACCGTGTCCAATTTTAATACTTGCCCAATAATATCAACACTAACTGAATAGCTAGTGCTAGATCCCACCAAAAACAAAGTATGTGCTCATTTAGCTGGACTTAGTAACATGTTACTACATACCTGACACTTCAATAGTGCAGGGTTTTAATAGGGCTGAGTGACAATTCAAACATACATTTCTAATAAGTGTGCAAGGATTTAGTATTAGCTAGATTTTTGAACCAGGGTAAAAACCATCTGGGTAATGCTGGCATGAATTTTATACACACACTAACACACAAGTGTATGATTTTAGGATGCATATATTATGTGTATATTTTATATATATACACACAGATACTACTTAAAGATGTAGTTATATATACAGAAGAGTCATGAAGTATTTAGAGTGAGATGGATCCACCTAGGACTAGCTCATGAACGTGTTAAAACCAGCTGTTTGTGTTCTGTTGACTGGACCCAGATCTTTGTTGCATCTGTTTAATATTTTTCTTTGTTTTGAAACAGGTTGTTTGGTATCAAATCAGTCATTCAAACAGACTGTTCCAGCACGTGGAAGATCATAGCAAACCCAGAGCTGTCATGGTACCACCATGCCAACCCCATCGTCCTGCTGGTGATGTACTACACGCTGGCCACTCTAATCCGAATCTGGCTACAGGAGCCCCTTGTAAGGATCAAAGGTTTTCATGGTCTTGTCTGCAAAGTAGCCTGGAAACTCCAGGGGAAAGTGTTCATTCCTATCAACTGCTGGCTAATTAGTACTATATGCCAAAATAACTATAGTGTTCTTATTATAGTATTTTGCTTCTACCAAGAGTTCTAACTGAATACAGATACTATCAGGACAAAGACCAGCTTCCCTATGTTAGTATCACCCCTGGCTACTCAGACGGTCCGTGGTGAGGGGAGTGGAAGCGTCATTTTAATTGAGCACTTACTAAATGCCAGGCCACTTGCTAGGTTGTTCACATACATTATCTCATTCAATCCCCTGCATAACTCTCAAGAATAGGTATTGTACCCATCTTAGAGATGAGGAAAACGAGGTTCGAGAGGTAAATCACACATTTACCAAACAGTAAATATCGGATTCAAGCCTACATTTGCCGACAAAGCTAGGGTCTGTATGACGACACACCCTGTTACCACGGCGACTGGAGTTTCCTAAATCTTCGCAGACCTCCGATGGTGCGGTGGGGATGCCCCCGCTCTCAGTGGTACCATAAGCCCCGGGGGCCCCACCACGGGGCAGGGCTGAGGACTGGGCTGTTCCCTATGGGATTATTAGTAGCATGTGGCACTTTGGGAACAGGACCAGAGTGGCTTGTGGCCTCTCTCTTTCCCCTTTCTGTGACAGGAAACTCCAGTCTGCTTTTGCTTCCCCTAAATGACCCTGAGAAGCTCAGCGGTAAGGCAGCTGATCCGCACACAGGGAGGCAGGTGGTGTAGACGGGGCTGCCGCATCTCACCTCATGGCCACGTGCTGGGGAGCAGAGCTCACATTAGACACCAGCCTGGCGCCTGTGATGCAGTCCCTCCAGCTCGGGGGCCCTGGTGCCCCGCCCGCCTCCCCTCTTTGTCTGCTCATCCAGGCTCCATCCACGCGGTCAGCTGGCTAGGCAACCAGTGTTTATCAAGAGCTAGCGTCTCAGACACTGGCCTGGGGCTGGGGGTAGAGCGTCGGTGTGAGGGGGCCCCAGGCGTGAGGCCCCGCTCTGGGGGACTATACATTGTACAAGAGGAAAAGCAGCCCCCAAAGATGTGAGCAGGCCCAAGTCGGCACAGTGAAACCCTGAGAGGTGTGTTCCATCCATCCCAGCGGGAGTGCCTCCTGCAGGAAGGGGGTCTGCCCACCTCCCTTCTGTGAGAGGACCACACAGGCGTGCTTGTTTGCAGGGACCTCATGACTCACCTCTCCCTTGGAGCCAGTGATGGCAGTGACGTGGTGACAGAACGCTCTAAGGGCTCCTGGAGAAGCCCAATTACCTTCTGTTACCTTTTCCTCCAAGTCTCTTCTAAGATATGAGTGTGCCAGTAGAACCCCTTAAAGTGGTGCTGTGTTCACTTCCGCCACAAACACACAGATGTGGGTATGTGTGTGTGCACACATAAAACTGTGCAAAAGAGATTAAAACATCTCACGGAAACCATCTCTGAACAATGTCTTAACCAACGATGGAAATGACTTTAAGGCCTTCGGGTTCACAAGAGTTCCAGGTGCCCTTGGCTTTCTCTGTCGTGTGTCAGGCAGGAGCTTGTGCCCAGGTGCTGCTGGGCTGTTACAGCCCCTCAGGCCCAGGAGACACTTGGCCTCCTTAGCCACGGGCCCTCTGGGGTGGACAGTCCACATTCCAGGCCACACAGTTCACAGCAGGTCACAAACCACAGCGTCTGCGGGGGTGTGTGGAGAACAGGGCCTAATCCACAACAGCATCGACCCTCGGGGTCTGTATTTTAAGTGGGGCTGGGACACGGGACTTCTCACTGAGGTGCTGATGGAGGGCAGGTGCCTGGTTCTATCATGGCTCCAGGTGGCCTGGCACATTTCATGGAAAACATGAGTTCTGTGGTAAAAGTCTACGGTATATGTTTGAGAAAGAGAGAGAGAAGCAGGTGTCTGGAGGTGAATGTAACACACGGGCTCCCCGGGGCATCTGGTGCTCCCCGTGGGTGCTCTGTGTGCACTGGGCCCCGGGAATCGGGCAGTGGCACTACGTGCCCTCCCTCTGCCCCCATATCAACATGTGTTAGTGCCCTTTTACGGGACATCTTTGTTGGGAACCATCCTCAACCACCAAGTGCGTTCTGATCCTTTTTTTCTCTCAACTCTCCTGGACCAACTGTCTGATTCAGGCCAAGGTCCCATTAGGCAAGGCAGCTGTGTTATGCATCAACTCTCTTTTTGCTTAATATTGAGTGTAAGCTCTAGATGACTCTGCTTTTAGTAAATGTCTTCTTCATTAAAGATTCCCGTGGCTGAGTTCCACAGTCAGGTGTGACTTTTGTGAACCCAGCCCAGCCCCTTCCTCCTGCAGGTTAGAATACACACAGGAGGCTCGGTGACGTAACGTGAGCGCCAGTTCCTGTATTTCATGGGGCTTAGCAGGGATCAGGAACAAGCGACACTGCTGTGCTTCGCGTGGCATTACAGGGTGGCATTTTGGCCATCTTTGAAAGTGTCTGGATAAAAGCCCACGTAGTGTATGCGTTACTTTACAAAATCATCACGTGGGGGTAGAGATGGGCAGCTGTGTCTGGTCTCCCAGGTCGCTGAGGGGCTGCTCCGGGGAGCAGGGCTGTCCTGTGGGTTATTCTGTGTCTCAGGTGCAGGAAGAGAGGACCAAGGAAGAGGACAGAGCCCTGGCCTGCAGCCCCGTCCCCGTCACAGCCGAGAGGAGGCGGAGCCTGTGGTACGCGACCCACTACCCCACGGATGAGAGAAAAGTAAGCCGCAAGGAAAGGGGTTTCTCGTTTATTTTGCTGCTTTTTATTATATTGCTGAATTCAGGTCATGTGAGTCCACCTGCAAACCCAGATTGCTCAGTTTACGGGAGCAGTTTGATGAGGAAGTCTTAGTGCCCAACATCTGTTCAGAGAAGGGAACCCAGTGCTTCGAAAGGAAACCCCAGGCTCCATCAGACCCAGACTTTTATAGTTCAGTGCTTCTCCCTGAAGTCTCTTAACCCTAGAAAGAGAGTGTTCTTAATTTTAAAAAAAAATTTTGTATTTAAAACAAACAAAAAACAACAAAGAGACCCCTTGGCCCTGGGCGGTAACAGCTTGGGTGGTGGGATGCACTGCAGAGAGTAATTCCCTGTGTCGGGGTGGCTGCTGCAGTGACGATGACTGCTCACACGGCCTTCGGGACACCGGCCAGTCTGTGTGGACGTGAAGAGCCGCAGCCTCTCGCTGTGTCGGGGCCGCAGTGTGGATGCCAGGGACGGGAGCACAGCTGTGTGATTCTTCATCTTTTCACCATTTGTTCACTATTTTCAACACAACCCAGCCACTGACTTGTTAAAATGGCCCATTTGCAATGTGGTGAAGACAGATACAATTCTCAGACGGGGTCAGCACTTTGCTTCCCAGCACGTTTGGGAATCGAGGAGCAGATTCTCTGATTGACTTGGTGGAAGAGTTTCTCTAAGACACGTGGTCCTAGTTGATGCCTGACTGTCATGGACTGAGAGACAGGGAAACAATGAATGAACTTCTCAGGGAGCTGGCAGCCACGTGGAACAGACGTGGTGCCCGGAGACCTCTGGGGTTTCCGGGGGCCCTTTCCTCCCATCACACGTGTCCTGCCATGTCACTAAGCCAGAGAGACAGCACAGCAGTTTCCAAAATGAGGTCTGTGGGCCATCCCTGGGGATTCCTGGGACCCTTGCCAGGATCCACAGGCTCGAAACTATTTTTGTAATAATACTTAAGACATTCGCCTTTGGACTATGCTGACAATTGCTCTGATGGTACAAAAGCACCAACCAAGGCAGCAGCACGAACCCCCGCAGCCGTGGTCGTGTCCTTGGCAAACAAAGCAGAAAGGCCAGTTCCACTTGAGAATATTCTTGATGAACCAGGAACAGTCGTTGCTTTTCTTAAATCTCAACCTTGAGGCACATACCTTTTTAATATTCTGAGTGACACGAGGGGAGGTCCCCCTGAAGTGCTGACCCCTCGAGGAGGAGAAGCACTTGGCAGGTGAGCGGCCCAGGTCGACGTGCGAGAACAGCTGACAGACAGTTGGGGTGGCTCAGGTATGGACATTCAGCAGTTACTGGAAAGTGAATGGAGTGGTCCATCGCTTCAAGGCAAACAACTGACAACATTTGTTGCCAGTGATAAAATGAGAACTTTTAGTGAAAATTAGAATATTGGAAGAGTCGGATTTTGTGCAGTACAGCGTGTCAGTATTCAGTGGAGCTGTCTAATCCCTAAAGCACATCACCAGCACGTGCGGTCACAACGTGTGTGTAGGTAGAAGACCCGGTCCGGGTGCAGGATCCTCCAGGGGCTTTACTGATTCCACACACAGCTCAGCTTCGGTTACTTCCCCATCTTGAGTTTGGGAGAGGGTCCCAGGAGAGGATCCACAGTCTGGATGGACTCCTGAGATACTTCTTTCTTTTCCAGCTGCATCGCTGGGTGAAGCCAGAGTTCCTTTAACTACTTCAACCAAAACAATACCTCACAGCAGATTGAATGTGCAAACAGACATGAGAACCCAGCTGTCTTCTTTTGATCCAGACATTAAAGATACTCAAAAGTGTAAAACAACAACACTCTTTTCATTATTTTTTAAAACTACAGCTATTTGAATAAAATTATTTATGTGAACAAGTTTTTTTCCAATTTTTAATGAATTAACAAGTGAATAGTTTTAATGCCTCCATTTTAATTTCTAGCACAATAGATACTGATGGATAGGACCTGCATAAATAAAAACTCTTTGGGACCTTCAGTGATTTTTAAGAAAGTGAATGAGTTCCGACCCAAAAGAGTGGGAGAACCTTTAGCTCAGCAGTTACTTGTTACTGGGGGGAGCCCCAAACCCCTAGCACTAATAGAGCTAAAAGGCATAATCGTGTCATAATTCTTTTGTTGCAGACAATACACAAATCTTAATCCCAGCCCGCACTGCACATCAAATTTTCTTTATTATGAAACTTCAATTTCTTGAAAAGTCAGTACTTTCAGAATTCTGCAGACGTCTCAAAGGGTCCTAGGACTATAAAACCAAGCAGCTAATTCTATTAGAACAAAACACTTGAAAAAATGTAATCAGCTCTTTTGTAGTCACGTGGTTAATGAGTGCTTACTGACTGTCGTGATTAAAAGTTAACATCGGAAACTGGAAAGGGTTATAAAAACAGCACCCTCCAGCTGCGTTATTCATGCCTTTGTATTTTGCATGGCACTTTTAACACACTAGCATGCAGCTAGCTGAAGGGATGGGTATGTGTGTAGTACAACTTTATCGCTGTGTATAAACATCATGATGCTTTCTGCTCACATATTAACGTGCTGTCCTGCATTGCTTTTTGCAGCTTTTATCCATGACTCAAGATGACTACAAACCATCTGATGTTAGTATATCTTTAGAATCCTCATTTTTGCGCATGTCAGTGATATAAAAGGGACATAAATGGAATTAGCCCCTCTGAGTGTATTTTAATGGTCTATAAAATTTCCATACGTTTTAACATAATTTTTTTGCAGAAATTGTATCTGGTTTATTGCTGTTAAAACACTGACTCATAAAACATGAGCTCGCGTATAAACATATAAAATGTTTTTAAACTTTTAAAAAGCCACAGTGGAGGGTTTGCCTGTTCCATGATTTGAATAAGAAGTCTTGCATGTCCATGGACACACACATGTATGTGTGCGTGTATATGTTTATATGTATATGCATAAATGAAAAATTGTAAAGCTGAAGAGAGAAAAAAAGCAGGAAATTGTATTTAGTGTACAGAGTGCTGCAACATGGGAATTGCAAGCTGCAGCATCAGGTAGAGACCTGTGGGGTTGCTGTCTAACCTGAGAATTTGCTAAGTCCTGGGAGCCGCGCAGGGTGTGGGGCAGGCAGGGGGGCCCGGGCAGTGCTCGGGCTGCAGGCCGGGACCCAGGCGAGTCTGGAGTTCCTGTAGCTGGAGGATGGCTGGGGGGAGGGGCCGTGAGCTGAGGCTGGAGAGGAGACAAGAGCAGGTCCTGAAGCCTCAGCAGCCTTTCCAGGCTTCACACTTCATAGCGAGGATGGAGAGGGGGGCACGGCCTGGGGTGCAGCAGAGGTGGGCAAGGTCAGGTTTACCTTGTCCTGTGATGGCTCTGTGGGATGTAGGTTTGGAGGGGGTGAGCAAGACTGTCTTGCTAGTGGGCATCACTGCCGACAGTGCTCGGCCCCCCATCGGCTCTGCACCATCCCGTGTGCCCACCTACCAGAAGGGAAGGAGGCAGGTCCGCACTGGGAACCAGAGCTGCCGTCACAACTGCTTTTGCCCCGCCTCCCCGGCAGGGCCTGTTGGTGACTGTGAATGGCAACCCTGTGGATTACCACACCATCCACCCCAGCCTTCCCCTGGAGAATGGCCCCGCCAAGGCCGACCTGTACTCCACCCCACAGTACCGCTGGGAGCCCGCCGCCGACTCCCCGGGTAAGGAGCCGGATCTGTCTTTGGTTTATCCTCCCGCAGGAGCTCTGAATCTGTCTTTGGTTTATCCTTCATTGGATTTGGTTCTTTTTCCTTTTTTTTTCTAGCAGAGGTTGCTTCCTTCCATGGTCAGTCTGATGAAGCTCATTTCCTTAACTTCTGCCTAGATTTTGCTCCTCCATCTTGCTCTGTGTGGTCTGTCCTTGGGTACAAAATAAGTGGCCTAATTGGGGTAAACTTTGAAAAATAAAAGGTAAAAAATTATTTTAAACAAGCCAACTTGTTTCTAGTGTTAAGACTATGTGCATATGTGTGTTTTACTCTTTCTGTAATTTGATGGCGTAATCACAGCCAATAGTTTTGCTGGTTAGTGGATGATGTCTTCAGAGAGAGCTCTTTTCGTCTAATAAAAAAACCAAGAGCCCCAAAACTTGGATGAGGCCTTTCTCCCTTTTCTCTCAGTTTATTGTGTTGAAAGAAAGCTGCCTTGTTACTGTAGATGACAAATACGTGCTCTGTACTGCTCGGGACGTTTATGTGAAATTCACATATTTGCATAGATTTTTATATAAAATAATCTGTCCCTCTAGAAAAGAAGGAGGGAGAAGATGAGAATGAAGAATTTGAGGAGGAGAAGGCCTATGAGGAGGAAAGGAGTGTCAAAGTCCATGCCATGGTCTCCGTGTTCCAGTTCATCATGAAGCAGAGTTACATCTGTGCCCTTATCGCTATGATGGTGCGTGCCTACGAGAACCCTTAACTTCTGCTTGGATTCTGCCCCTATATCTTGCTCTGTGTCCTGTCCTTGGGCACAGAATTAGTGCTGGAGGGATGGACGGTGCTTGCACCCCGCCGGCTCCAAGCCCCACCACCTCCTCCCGCCAGCACTGATGTCTTCATCTTCCCAATGTCTTGGCAGAGAATGGTCGCTTATGGTAATTTCTCATGGGCCCTTTATATTCTAGATTTCAAAGCCATGTCCTCTGTGCTAGCTAGCCTCCTCCTAAATATTAATACCTTTCTCTCAAATTAGCCTAAGTCAGACTGTCCCCTATTTTGCCGATCTTAAAGGACATATGGGTAGTTTTTCTAAGTGGCATTGAAGGTGTTCACGATTAACAAAGGCCACTTTTATTTCTTTCAGATAATGAGGGTTATAGTCACAGCTTGTCTTAGATTTGAGACTTTATTCCATTTGAGCTGCAGCAAATGTTTACCAATCTAAGCGTCAAGCGCCGAGTCCCCGAGGGCTTCTTCTGGTTGTGAGCTCTCAGTTTACCTGCGTTTCTGCTCACCGCTAGGAACATGCTCATCTCCAGCATCAGAGCTTCAGAAATCGTCCTTGGGACCAGAGACAGGATAGAAAAGAAGGCCAATTTCTGCTCTTCCTAAAAACGAATTTTACTGGGAAAGCTAATTTATTTTGAGAAACTTATTTCACACAAAAGTCTTCAAATTTTGTGGCCAGTAGTGAGATCCCATGGACACCGTAAATGATAAAAAAAGAAAATATTCTATAATTCTAGGGAAAAAAATCACCTAAAGACAGTTTCCCTAGGCTCTCAGTCCAGAGGTCTCCTGAGAAAACCTGTTTGCACGTCAGCTTCAGCTTCTGCAAGGACCATGGCCATGGCTGAGAGCATGGGGAACAGAAAGCTCCTCAAAATTAAAGATGGCTCTTTTGGGGACTGCAAACTCTGTTCTCTAAATAATATGAATTCTGGGCTCTCTGGGTACTTTTTGACACTTTAAAGCTCAATCCCTAATTTACACTACAGCCAAAACTCTATTTGAAAACATCAAATAATTCAGATTCTGAACTCAAAAGAGTATACGTTTCTTCTTCTGTCTCTAAAAAGAAGCCAGAGAAGTTGGTTTCTTTATGTAAAGAAATAGAGCTTAAAAAAAAAAGAAAAACTTGAAATACACATTCAGTTCCTCAGTAGAAAAGAAATCTGTTGTAAAAACAACGCAGGAGAGCAGATCTCTTGTTAAAGACGTGCTCTCGTCTGGTGCCATTTCAGTTGTTTTCATGGAGCCCCAATATTAATGCTTTAAAAGTGCCTGTCTTCCGTGGAAGTTCCCCCGTGGCAGCAGACTTTTAATCACAGACAGAAAGGAGCACGGTCTGTTAGAACTATAGATGTCTTTGTTCAAAAACACAAAGAGCGAAATCTTCACAATTTCTTTTTCTCCCTCTTTCACCCAAACAAGGATAATGTACAGGGGGAAAAATACGCTGGAATTATAATATCTGCGAAGATTACTTTCTTGGGTCCTCCACAAAAAAATGGCCAGGTCAGATCTGAATTTCATCCTGGGATAAAGGCATTAAATATTACCAACCTTTGATAACACTATTTCCAAGGAATACTATCTTCATGAAAATAATTCAGACTTGGTAATAGTTGTCAGTCACTCACTTAATTTTACTAAAAGCAATTTTAATTTCCAGTTTATAATTACCATATGTTTTAACCAACAGTTTTAAATAACTGCATTTAAAAAGCTAGCTCTGCTTTCGGACAGATTTGCACATTGCTGCAAGGAAGTATTTGTTTGTTCTGTGCTGACTTTATTCATTTATCTTATTTATCTCAATACTTATCTGCTTTCCAGAAGCAAAACAGACTTGTAAAACATTTCAGACTTTACGAATAACTCTTGGTAATTCGTGATACTGAAGAATATGACTGATTTCAATTAGCTCCAAATAACAGCTAGAAAATATTTTTAAAGACCTTTTCACAGAAATTTGGTATCCGAGATTATGGTATGAGAGGATAGATTTACTGAAGTTAATGGTTCTCATGAGCCTGATTTTCTAGAATGTTCCAGCAGCTGCCCTTTGAGATATCTTCTGGACCTGTGGGAGTTTGGTGTGAGTGGAAGATGTCTTGCCTCTTGCAGGGCGGAAGGGGAGGCCGGCCTCTCCATTAACCTGGCTTTACTGTTTGCGGTGTGCGGACACCTAACACTCTACCTCCTCCTGGAGATTCCCTGGTTCCTATCATGTCTGTCTTCCCGGCGGGTCTGCTAAGGGTGACCCCTGAAGCCAGCTTGTGTGCTGACCCTGTGGTCCCTGCAGCTTCTGTTTCTGAGCCCAGCTTGGCCACACTCACCCAGCACCCTGAAAAAATAGCCGACCCCAAGCTGGTTTGGAAGAATAAAGGAGAAAGCAGGTTGCTTCTCATTCTGCAAAGCAGGGTGGAAAGGAAGACATTCGGGGCTGGAGGGCAAAGGACGTGGAGTGAAGCCCCCTGCCCGACCCTCTTCCTTCCAGGAAGTCGAGGGCAAGTGCTAGCTCACAGAGGCAGCCTTTCTCCTCGCTGTGTCCCCTGCCGCAGCTGGGATGTCCCTCCATGATTTCACCACAACACCCTCCCTCCATAGTGTGAATGTTACTGACCTTCACCTGCTAGATAACGTCTAACTTAGCAGGGTGGGGCCTGTATGTTGTATTGACCGTCACCGTTTTCTCCTCCTTCCTTCCTGGAGGCGTGGAGCATCACATACCACAGCTGGCTGACGTTCGTGCTGCTGATCTGGTCCTGCACTCTTTGGATGATTCGCAACAGAAGGAAATATGCCATGATCAGCTCTCCATTCATGGTTGTCTACGGAAATCTCCTGCTCATATTACAGTACATATGGAGTTTTGAACTCCCTGAAATTAAAAAGGTCCCGGGATTTTTAGAAAAGAAAGAGCCAGGGGAACTTGCCTCAAAGGTAAGTGAACGGCAGAGCAAGAAAACAAAGCATTCCGACAAAACCACGGTAATCCAAACAAACACATCCAAGCAAAAAAGTACAAAAACACGTTCCAAATATTTGCTGCTGCTTGAAATCATAATGTTTTTCCTAGCCCTCAGGAAAATGTTAATATAAACGTGTGGGCACTTAGAACAATTCCCCCTTCAGCTTTGGGAGAAGAATGGGAATATTAAGGGGTTCTATTTGCTGGCAAGAAATGTTCTTCTTTCCCATCTGTGGAATTCTTCAAAATAAGGACCACTGCAGAAGCAACAGGGATCATGGAGAAATACATCATCTTCTGATTCTTGTGCTGATGTCAGGGAAGGACAGGAAGTCAAGGACTAGCACCTTGAAGGGGACCACTGGTCCAAGTTGGCTTCCAGCCCAGATTGTCCTGTGCATCTTCCCGGGGCATCCCAGGCATGAATGCACCCTGGCACTGGACGGCATGCCAGCGTCCTCGGGAAAGGAGATTTAAAAGCCAGTGACTTTCAGCTGAAATCAAGTGGGTGCCTGACTCTATCTCAAGTGGAAAGGTTCATGTAATTGCTCCCACTGAAATGCAGAGAAGGCGTAGTAGTTGTTGAAATAGGCTTATGCTTCAAAGACTTGATGCTCGTGTTCCTAATTCTCTCCTTTCAGATCCTTTTCACCATTACGTTTTGGCTGTTGCTGAGACAGCACCTCACAGAGCAAAAAGCTCTCCAAGAAAAGGAAGCTCTTCTGTCTGAGGTCAAAATCGGAAGTCAGGAAAATGAAGAAAAAGGTAATTAGTGCGTGAGGTGTGTGACGGGAGGAAGGGCCCCCGAGGACATCCAGGGCGCTCTGCTGCAGACCAGAAGGAGGCCAGGTGTAGACGTGAGCAGATAAATGACCGTGTCCCGGGGCTAAGTCCCCGTCCACAGGAGCTTCAGAGACCCTGTGTCATTTGATCCTCACAAAAGTGACTCCCACTTCAGGGAAGAGAAACTGAAGCTCAGGGAAGTGCACTGGGTTCTCCACGGTCACATTTACTGAGTGTTAGTACCAAGAAAGTGACTCAAATCTTCCAAATTCGAATCCTCTTCTTTTCAAAGACGAATATACCACAAAGTCAAAAATAGAATCTGATGTTTTGATGATCGATCACCTCTGTAGTTTTAGACCTGCTATATGGGTAAAATGAGAGCCTCTCACTCCCTACCTGCCTGGATGTACCAATAAATATCATTTAATGTTAGTAGAACGGCTTGGAGACCACTAGTGATGTGTGTAGCCTTGTCTGAAAAGGATGCCATAAAGGTCCACAGAGGTTGGGCTGGTAACCTTAAGACTAACCCGGTAAGGAGGAGAAAACCAACACACACCAACTCATCCTTTTCTTATAGTTTCTCGTTTAGACCTAACCATGGAGTTACTTTTCAGCAACAAAAGTCTATAAGATTTGAATCTTGACTCTTTGACTTTGGATGTGTCTGTTAATAGAGTGATTAAGTTCACCAGTTACTTTATATAAAGAATAGTTCATTTAAGATCAGCAGTTGCTCTGACCTCTCACCTCACTTGCATTCCCCTCACTCTGTGGATCTCCTGGTCATTTGAATACATTATTTAGATGTATTTAACAGGTTGCCTTAGTAACACAAAAATGAGTCATATATTAGCATATTTTAAAGTAAGACCAAATATAAGCTTTGCATTGCAGTGCATAAAACTATTTTAAACTTAGGTAAATTACAATTATTCTTCAATTCTAATTTAAATTAAGTGATATTTGGCTTTAACTCTTACTTTCTTAGTTCTCTAAAAGCATACTTTTGGTTAAGATTATTACCATTAACCCAAATCCAGTAAAATACTGCTAGGATTGTCTGGAGTCATGTTAACAGTTGGAATTTGAAGTTGTCGTAGTAGTTTTTATTTGTGTTATTGTTGCCTATGTATTTTTCCTCGATCCTGCAATAGTTACAGCAGGATATTACAAGTGGAATAGGTGTCATAAAAAGATTAGTATAAAAGTATTACCAAATGTATTTCTTTAAAACTATATTTCAAGAATTTTAGGAAAATGGACTATAATTAGTTCCATAAATTCTGGCTTGTTTATTAGAACCATCTAAAATTATTTAACTCATATGGTAATGCACGAAATGCGTGCGCTGTGTGGCACTCCCATCACACCGGGCAGAGTGTGGTTCTGGTCCGGGGACCAGCTCCATTGAACAGCATGGTCTTCTCTTTTGAAGATGACGAACAGGACATACAGGTGGATGGGGAGGCCCAGGAGAAGAAGGAAGAAGAGGAGGCAAAGGAGGAGAAGCAGGAGCAGAAGAAGGAGGAGGACGACGACAACGAGCAGGACATCATGAAGGTGCTGGGTAACCTGGTGGTGGCCTTGTTCATCAAGTACTGGATCTACGTCTGTGGAGGCATGTTCTTCTTCGTCAGCTTCGAGGGCAAAATCGTGATGTACAAGATCATCTACATGGTGCTCTTCCTGTTCTGTGTGGCCCTGTATCAGGTGGGTACACAGCTGTCCCTGTTTTTCAATCCTCACATCTGTCCAGGAACGTACGTGAGCTTCTTTCGACAAGACTCTAAGTTACTGTGACCTCGTGAAAACATTGTGTAAAGGGGTCGATGAGATTCAGACATTACACACTAGGAATCCTCAAATGAGAAGTAGCTCCCTTCAGCTTGTGCACTGATTTTAAATGTTAGGTTCTTAAAATGGTGGAGAAGTGGTTAGAGTGGGCATCCTTGTCTTATTCCTGGTCTTAGAAATGTCCATCAACAGAGGAATGGATAAAGAAGATGTGGTACATATACACAATAGAATATTACTCAGCCATAAAAAAAGAACGAAATAATGCCATTTGCAGCAACACGGATGGACCTGGAGATTACCATACTAAGTGAAGTGAGTCAGACAGACAAAGATAAGTACCATATGATATCACTTACATGTGGAATCTAAAATACCACACAAGTGAACTTATTTACAAAACAGAAACAGACCCACAGACGTAGAGAACAAACCAAAGGGGAGGGGGGAGGGATAAATTAGGAGTTTGGTATTAACAGATACACACTGCTATATATAAAATAGATAAACAAGGACCTATGGTATAGCGCAGGGCACTATACCCAGTATTTTGTAATGACATAAAAGAAAAGAATCTGAAAAAATATATATATAGCTAAATCACTTTGCTGTACACCTGAAACCTATACAACATTGTAAATCAACTATACTTCAATAAATAAAATAAACATGACAAAACTGAAGAAAAACAAATGCATGTGTAAAATGAAGTCAGAAAAAATTCATAACTTTTTCAAAAATTATTAATTAAAAAAATAAGTCTGGGGCTTCCCTGGTGGCGCAGTGGTTGAGAGTCCGCCTGCCGATACAGGGGACACGGGTTCGTGCCCCGGTCCGGGAAGATCCCACATGCCGCAGAGCGACTGGGCCCGTGAGCCATGGCCTCTGAGCCTGCGCGTCTGGAGCCTGTGCTCCGCAATGGGAGAGGCCGCAACAGTGAGAGGCCCGCGTATCGAAAAAAAAAAAATAAGTCTGTATCATTAGATTACACTTTTGAATAGTAGTGTAAAAACTGTGGCTGGATAATCTAAAACACTGGATAATATTCGGTTCATTTGTATTTCAGAGTTTGGAATCAGAAAATCATGCGCATGTGCGTGTGTGTCTGTGTGTGTTTACAAATGTATGTATAATGCAGTGAGTGCTTTAGTATTTCATTAATTAGAACATATGAAATGTTATATTGAAATGAGTTAGCCCCTCCACAAATTCCGTGTAACTGATGACGGGTGGGAACCCGATGATGTACACAAGTGTAACAGTAAACATTCCTGCCGGCAACCAAGCAAACAAGTAAAGCAACCTCGATTAACAAGAGGCGATTACCTGTGGAGATGAAAATGTCTCAACTGAGGTCAGTCACACTTTGAAATACCTTTTGAAATTCCGAGTAGATGTTCCCTAATGAAAACCCACAGGTTTTTGGTGGAGAGGGATGCCTCCTCTCTCTGGCGGTCTCACATTTGTATTCATGTGGCATCACTCTGAATTCCAAAATGGAGGCAAGTTCCCCAGCCATGACCACAAGCACAGAATATACCTCCCTGAAAGCCTCCCGTAGACCAGATATAGACCAGACATCATGCCGAAATAAACATTATTAATGATGATGATACAAACATCATTATTTCATCCTCAGAACAACTGGAAAGTAAGTACTCTTGAGGAGGAAACAAGCTCAGGGTAGCAGCTTTGCCCAAGGACACAGCTCACAGCTTCTGGTGGAACCGGATTCCAATCCACAGCCACCCAACCCTACGAGGAACAGAGCCTCAAAAACTAAATATGAACGTGCCTTTGTTTTCAAACATTTGTAAATGGAATCACCTGTCTTCTTTGAATAAAGCAGGTGTTTTTGTGAGTTTTCCTCTGACCGCTTTTTTTTTCTCGTTTGTTGTTCAGGTGCACTATGAGTGGTGGAGACGGATCCTGAAATATTTCTGGATGTCGGTGGTTATCTACACGATGCTGGTGCTCATCTTTATATACACATATCAGTTTGAAAACTTCCCGGGCCTGTGGCAAAACATGACGGGATTGAAAAAAGAAAAGTAAGTAATTGTGGTGGACAGCGGGATGGAACATGACAAACAGCAGGAGGTTGTGAATGTGTGTCGTTCAAAACATCTTTCTGGGAGGTTTTAGTAAAACATGACATCATCACTGGCTATAAGTTCCTCCAGAACTTATAGCCAGTGATGGCTATAAGTTGTAGAAGAATGGTACAGATGAACCGGTTTGCAGGGCAGAAATTGAGACACAGATGTAGAGAACAAACGTATGGACACCAAGGGGGGAAAGTGACGGGGTGGGGGTGGGGGTGGGATGAATTGGGAGATTGGGATGGACATATATACACTAATATGTATAAAATGGATAACTAGTAAGAACCTGCTGTATAAAAAAATAAATTAAATAATATTCAAAAAAAAATAAAGTTTCCTCCAGAAGAGGACTCAGGTCTTGGTCATTTGGGGTTCTTATGACCTTGCCCTGAGCTTTTAGCACATAGTAGGTACTCAATAAATATCAACTGAGAAGTGAATTTTCCGCCCATTATTAATGACATGGCATTTTCTAGTGTCGGTTTCATGTGAAGCACACCTGCCCGGTTCCTCACTGTCATGCTTCCTCCTTTCTTAGCTGGAGCCCAGTTCCTCATCAGTAGGTTCATAAGGTAACACATCAGCGTCTCCTCACTGATGGAGCAGGTGCTAAGATCTAAGGAGTAGTTGGTGCCCCAGGAAAAGTGCTCAGAGACTAGTGATGATGAAATCTTTCTTGTGCATGAAATAGATAGGAGTCTAGACTTTTCTAATTTGCTTCTGTAAACTTCTGAAGTTCGTTTAGAAATCCCACCAGAACTGGGCATAGAACTGAGTATCCTGAGGTGGCCAAGAGGAGAGTTTAAAAGGAGGGTTCACCGTGTAGCTAGACTAATATATCTTTAAGTCAATTCAGCAAATATTTCTTGAGTGCCTCCCCTGGGCCAGACACTCTTCTGTACCTGAAGATGCAACAGGAAGCAAGAGAGACAGAGTCTGAACCCTGTGGAGTTTATAGTCCAGGAGAGGAGACAAACCAAAAACCTACGTAGTGTACAAACAAATCAACTGCGACACGTCTGTGAAGGAAACAGAAACAGGTTGAGGTACTGAAGAATGGGGGACAGTAACTAGAGATGGAATAGTCAGGGCAGGCTTCCCTGAGGAGGCGTCATTTTTTCTTTTGGCTGCGCCACGCAGCATGCAGGGTCTTAGTTCCCCGAGCAGGGACTGAACCCACGCCCTCGGCAGTGAAAGCGCCGAATCTTAACCACTGGACAGCCAGGGAAGTCCCTGAGGAGGTGTCATTTTAAACTCCTGAAGAATAGGAAAGAGCTTGTCTTTAGAAAACTGTGTGAGTTGGGAGCTGGGAGGTGGACGAACATTCCAGAAAAAGAGAGCAGCAAATGCAAAGGGCCTGAGGCAGGGCAAACTTTGGGGTGTGTGTGTGTGTGTGTGTGGAAAGGCAGGAAGTCTGGGCTGTGGGGAGCAAGGGGAGAAGTGGGAAAGGTCAGCTAGGCACCCGGAGGTGCAGGGCTTGTAGGTAGTGATGGTTTGCATCTCATTCATGGTGAAATTTCTAAAAGTCTTTAAAGCACCCTTGACTGGCTGAGGAAAAAGTGATGTGTGTGGAGGCCAAGAATAGACACAGGGGCTTCCCTGGTGGCACAGTGGTTGAGAGTCCGCCTGCCGATGCAGGGGACACGGGTTCGTGCCCTGGTCCGGGAGGATCCCACATGCCGCGGAGCGGCTGGGCCCGTGAGCCATGGCCGCTGAGCCTGCGCGTCCGGAGCCTGGGCTCTGCAACGGGAGAGGCCACAGCAGTGAGAGGCCGCATACCGCAGAAAAAAAAAAAAAAAGAATAGACACAACAGCACGGTCAGCCAGCAGTGGGGGGTCCTGCGAGTGAGGATGGCGGCTCCACCTAGAATAGGAGGTGCTAGAAATGAAAACGAGGACAGATTCAAGGGTCGAAGGAATGCAGATGGTGGGGACCGGAAGGCAAAGAAAGCGTCGGGGGAATGCCCTGATTGGGGCGTTTTGCACGAGGTAGACGGTTGTGCCAGTGAAGAGCAGGGTGGGGAGAGAGGGGTGGAGAACAGCTCAGCTGCTTCAGGAAATGGGGAAATCGGGAATGCTGTCTTGAAAACACTCAATATGAAATCACTGTGAAAACAGCCAACTTCCAGGAGACGTTCGGGTAGGAGAGCCCACCGGGGAAAGCCGTTTTGTCTTGCAGGCTGGAGGACCTCGGCTTAAAACAGTTCACGGTGGCTGAGCTGTTCACGCGCATATTCATCCCCACGTCCTTCTTGCTGGTGTGCATCCTGCACCTGCACTACTTCCACGACCGCTTCCTGGAACTCACGGACCTGAAGTCCATTCCCAGCAAGGAAGACAGCACCATCTACAGGTGAGCCCGTGCAGGAAGCTCTAAGAAGGCAGCCTGGACCCTCCCAACCATCTCACTTAGAATCTCAGCCCTGAACTTGCCATGAGTATCAGCCTGTAAGTGGGGGAAACAATGAGAAAAAATGCGGAATATTTGACGGCTCTTTGTGAAACAGTTGGTAGTGGTTTATGATGGTTCATGCAGTGATCTTGACAGGCACGTGAATTAGTTCAGAGTAGCTGTGTAGACTGGAATTCCTTAGCGGTGGTGATGTGTCTTTTGTGTCCAGGCTGGTGAGGTGTTTTTAGAACATTTACAGAATCTGGCTAATTCGGAGGATGAGTTTTCTGTCGCACTAACAGGCAGAGAAGAAGTCGCTGTGAGTGAGAGCGCAGTGCAGAATTCTACCTTCCGTCTTGGAAGGGGAGAACCTTGGCTAAAAAGAGAGAATCTGCCATCTATGAGTAACCAGAATAAGATTTAAGGAAAGAAAGCGAAGGCAGTGTTTCCTTTCATCAGCTCCCTGCTGTGGTCTGCCCATCAATAAACACAAATTGTTTACAAGTAGCAGATGGATCTGGCTCTCCCTGGCCGTGTGTGCTGAAGCCACAGTGGGTCATCACACATGCCTAGATCTGCTCCATCACGGGGAAATTACAAGCACTCGTCTAATGAACCTTGATACTGATTTTCCTCTCTGCTTCACATAATAGCCTGTGATTCAGTTCCTGGAAAAACACTTGTTAAGTAAATAAGGGAGCAAAGTGCTGTATTCAAAGGAGCACAGATGCCACAGTTGAAAATTCCCCTTAGCTCTTTTTCAAGGGAAACAACGTGTCCATCCAAAGAAGATGCAGCAGTATCTCATCACGCACAGTTTATGAAATATCAAACTGTCTGTGTTGTGCTGTGCTAAGGAGTGGAATTATGGAAAACTGAATTTGTTGCACAGAGTTCCTGTTAAGTATGTAGAACCTGATTTAATTATGTAGGTTCTGGAGAAGGACAGCAGCCTATGTCAAGATGTGTTCTCCCTGTTTGCTCTGGTGTCCTGCCAGCCCATAACCCCCTCGCCTGGCAGGACAGGGAAGGAGGCCAAGCAGTCTGTTCAGTCTGCGACTGGAGCTGGCCCTCCTCTGGCCGCAGCTCAGCCTGAGCACCCCCCTTAACTGTTGCTTTTCCAAGAAAATGTAAAGGGCAAGGCGAGAGTGTATAATGGCAGCCACCTGAATGGTTTAGGAATGCAGGATTTCATTTTTGGTTCTGTGAAAAACAGTTTTCTAGAAACTCGAGGAGTTCAAAGGACTCACTCAAGTTCGGTGTTTTGGGATTTCATGCAAGAGTTTCATGTAAAAGTCCCCCAAGTTTCAACTTGGACCATAAGATACGTATCCCATCTTTTTTGCAGCTCTTTTCCGTTGTAGTATTTTCCTTACTAGCAATTTTCACCTCACGGTAGTTTTAGTCCCTAGAACGCTAGTAAATGGCTACATTAAAATCAAAATGATGAAGAAAAACGTATTTTCGGGGTTGGGATTGACTGTCCCGCTTTGCCTTCTCTGTTCCTGCCCGCTTAGTAGATGCTGGGGGGAAAAAAAAAAAAAAAAAAAAAACTCCCAAATCGGGAATAATCAATGCATTTTATCCCTTAAAGTGATTCCAGTCCTGTTGTTTCTGTGAATAGCCAACTGTCCTTTTTCCTGTTTCGTCTGTCGTTTTTGTGGTTTGTGTAGGCCCTGTAGGCAAACGTCACTTGTGTCTGAAGCAGAATTCATTGTGTTTAGCCTTCCACAATTTATAAAGTTAGCATTATGCAAGTGTTTTATGATATACCTTATGTGAAACTATTATTAGTTCTAGGTAGGCATCCTCAGGAATATCATTTCCCTTATATACTGATAAAATATATAATATAACATAATCGCAATGTAATTATTATATAATATATACTTAGTAAGGTACTAAGTATCCACTCCTTATTTAAATGTCCGTCACTGCAGTTTGTCCATAATTTGTTTTAGAAAGTACTGTGATGCATATAGAAATAGAATGAGTTTTTTCTGTCTTCAGTTTTAGAACACCTCAGAAAACAGTATGTTGAATATGGACATTTAGGAGGATTTTCTTCTTTTAATTCTGGGGAAGGAGCAAGAATTAATGTTTTCCGTGGTATTTTATCTGATAAATGCGTTCTGGACATGTAAACCTTACAGATTCCTGACAAGGTGTGTGACTGGGGGGGAGGGAGGGAGAGACTGTTACCGTCCGGCGATTTCCCGACTCTGGTTTCTCTGCTGCCGAATCTCGCTGTCTGGACCCTCCTCCAGTGCATGAAGCATGTCGGTGACACATGTGGTGGTGCAGAGCTTACGGGACATCAGCTCCTCCTCTCTGGCTAACACTCTCCTCTTTCTCTCTCCAACTGTCCCCCGCTGCCACCGCCTGCTTCCTTGTGCCCCCGCGTAGCCATGCCAAGGTCAATGGGCGCGTGTATCTGATAATAAATAGGTGGGTACCTCGACGTTTTCTCTCTCGGTTTCCTTTTTGTTAATGGTCTCTGGGAGTGTTAAACGCTTCGTTAGCTTGTAAGTGGAAAATGGCATCATCAGACAGTGGGCGTGGCCTGCAGGTGCGCTGGATGTCTTTTGCAAACCCAGCCATTCGGCGTTTGGACCGAACGGTGCTGCCGAGCGGACTTGGAGGTGGCCGCGGGTCTTCAGCTGGCCCTCGGCGTTGGCCTGGCTCAGCCGCAAGCCCCACTGACGTCACCCTTGGTAACGTTGGTTCCCGGCTAGCCTGCGAGCCCACCTCCCTCTTGAACACGTGATGGAGAGTTCAGCTCAAGAACCAGCTCCTCCACAGACCTGCCCAACACTGCCGGCTCCCCGCTGAGCGGAACTGCCCTTGCTCTGAATTCCCGGGGCACTTTCTCATCGCTGTCCCCCGACACTGGCCTTCAGCCCCTATCTGTCTGGCTGTCTTGTCTCCCCTGCTCGAGGCCTCCACCCCGCAGGCCCGGAGTCCCTGTAAAATCCATCTCACTTACCGTGGAGGCTTAACCATTAGTGGACCCTCAGTAGATATTCCTGAATGAAGTGACAATGGTCACAACAATCTATGGTTAAGAGAAAATTAAAGCATCAGTTTCTTCAAATATACGTCTACTTGAAAGAGCAACGTATTGGAGGACGGTATTTTACATGACCCAACTTCACAATATATTTGCTTTCTGCCAAAAAGGCAAAGCTGGGCAGTACCTTAGAAGCATAGCACCCAGCTGGGGAGATAAGCCATGCAGGTGACCACACATAATAAAGAGTGAGCTTTGACATGTGCCATGTGTAGAGTTATCCTCAAGTGCCCTAAGAGTTCAGAGAAAAGAGCCTTTGGGGTCTGCTTTGCCAAAACTCTTCTTACCTTATCAAGTAGGTGAATTAAAATGCCCACTCCCATAACTTCGTGTCATTAGTAATCAAGTCAGTAATTTAGGTAATAGAAACATGTATTTTGCAAGAAATCCACTTAACAAAATAACCCTGGGAAAGATTTGTTGGTTTTCTAGTCGTTATCTTAAGTAACATCCCAAGGCTGACAACCAAATAGCAAACCCTAGGAGGCAGAACTTCTAGAAGGAGGTGTAAAAACTTAGCGCACCGTGTGCAGATCTCTGCAGAAGAGGAAGGAGGCTGGGCTTGCTCCCTTTGGGGCCGGTTTTGTGGACAGCCTGAGAGAGAAAAGTCAACCTCAGGTTTTTAGCTGCCAGGAAGAGAAGTAAGACAGAGACTCGAACTAGAAATCTCGAGCAGCTGCATCAATCTTATCCCTCTAAACATAAGAAAGCACAATCTCTGTCTCTCTCCCTCAGTGTTTCTCATAAAGTATTGACCATTTGCTTTAAGAGGAGGTGGCTGGGGCACCCAAGAGGTCAGGAATTGGTTTGATGGGCTCTGATGGCTGATACACTTGGCCTTCCGTATCCGCGGGTTCTGCATGCATGGATTCAACCAATTACAGATCAAAAATATGTGAAAAGAAAAAAAATTCCAGAAAGTTCCCCAAAGCAAAACTTGAATTTGCTGTGAGCAAGCTACTATTTGCATGGCATTCACATAGTATTAGGTATTGTAGGTCATCTAGAAATGATTTAAAGTATACAGGAGGATGTGCATAGGTTATATGAAAATACTACACCATTTTATATAAGGGACTTGAGCATCCGTGGATTTTGATATCTTCGGGGGTCCTGGAACCACTCCACCATGGATACCGAGGGACGACTACAAGTTTTGGTCCCCGTTGTCCCTGACTTTTCTCTTGAGAGAAAGCCTATGCCCATTACCCCAAGTCACAAGGCCAGTGAATTCACTCAGGAGTTCTTAGAATGATCTAGATGCAAAGTCATCTAAAATAATTTAAAACTTGAAGCATTCTACCATTAGGTCAGTCTTCTTTCCAGTGGAATCTCTCATTTTTGTCTGAATGCTAACATTTTAAGAAAGGCCAGAGTTCTGCCTTAAGGGACACGTGACCTAACAAACCCATCCCTCTCTGGACAATGTGTGCCTCTGAAAGGCTGCACGTGAAGTGTGTCCAATGATAGGGTGAACCTTTTATTTAAGTAAATAAGCTTTCCATCTCCCAAAATTTATTTCTGTACGCTCAATGCTGTTTTATAAGGAGAATAATGTGTTTGTAAACATGAGTTCCAGTGAAAGAGGGGACATAGCTACATTTGACTTCTGCGTCGATTACAATTTAGACTTGACCTTACGAGGCGTGAGGTGGCGGGTGTGTTTAGGGCAGTGGGTGACTGGTAAAATTTTGATGATGTGAAAAATTGCAGGAAGTTCCAGCTGAATCTGTAAACAGACTGATTTAGAAGAGTTTAACAGGAGTAATGATTATTTCTCCCGCATATACACAAACCAGAGCCATTATACCCAATCTTGCCTAGTAGATTATTTTTGGAGGAATTACTACCACACAGAGTTAAGATGTGACATTAAATTGAATTAAATTAA